TATATTTGATTAAAAATGTATATGTTTTATAATTACACACAGTGAAACCCCTCTATGGTGAACCCCAATGGGACTGAACCTGTGGTTCAATATAACCATGGTTCATTATAGACACCATTCATTGTACAGTAGAACCTCCATGACCTCGCTGTAAAGGATAGTTTTCATTTGCTAAATTACTATTACACATGGTACAGGCCATGATAATCATGGTGTGTAGAGGTAGGTGGTTCATTATAGACACCATTCATTGTACAGTAGAACCTCCATGAGAGGACACCTCGCTGTAAAGGATAGTTTTCATTTGCTAAATTACTATTACACGTGGTACAGGCCATGATAATCATGGTGTGTAGAGGTAGGTGGTTCATTATAGACACCATTCATTGTACAGTAGAACCTCCATGAGAGGACACCTCGCTGTAAAGGATAGTTTTCATTTGCTAAATTACTATTATACATGGTACAGGCCATGATAATCATGGTGTGTAGAGGTAGGTGGTTCATTATAGACACCATTCATTGTACAGTAGAACCTCCATGAGAGGATACCTCGCTGTAAAGGATAGTTTTCATTTGCTAAATTACTATTACACGTGGTACAGGCCATGATAATCATGGTGTGTAGAGGTAGGTGGTTCATTATAGACACCATTCATTGTACAGTAGAACCTCCATGAGAGGATACCTCGCTGTAAAGGATAGTTTTCATTTGCTAAATTACTATTACACGTGGTACAGGCCATGATAATCATGGTGTGTAGAGGTAGGTGGTTCATTATAGACACCATTCATTGTACAGTAGAACCTCCATGAGAGGACACCTCGCTGTAAAGGATAGTTTTCATTTGCTAAATTACTATTACACATATTCTTGCAAAAGTCCAACCCCACCAGCGAGTGCAAGTAACCAAACGGGGCTCTGGCATTTGTAAGTGCAAAGTTGAACTGCTTTTCACATGTGTAGACATGTGGTGCGCTTACAGTAAAAGCAGTCGCTAACTACCCACCATGATTATCATGGCCTGTACCACGTGTAGTAGGGATAAGCAAAAAAAAAAAAAACTATTACACATGGTACAGGCCATGATAATCATGGTGTGTAGAGGTAGGCGACTGCTTTTACTGTAAGTGCACCACATGTGAAAAGCCGTTCAACTTTTCACTTACAAATGTGCCAGAGCCCCGTTTGGTTACTAGCACTGGCTGGTAAGATTGGACTTTTGCAAGAATCGGGGGCCATTTTTTTTAACTCGGAAAAAAGTGCCCAATGCAGGAATCAAACCCGGATCGTAGCGGTCAAAAACAGATGGTTTAGACCATCCTTCCACTGACCACCTAATCTCATCCTTGTTGTCTCTTATCCCCTTGTGGAAAGATTACACGACACATTTCCTCCTTGGAATCTCTAAGCAGTCAAAAAATATACAATCACACATAATAATAAACTTACTTTTAAAGAAATAGAGACAGTAGCCAGATAAAAAATAAACAAGAACATAAGGATCCCATCTAAACACAGCTGGTATAGTGTATTGGACCCAGGAGGAACTCTGAACCTCAGAAATAGACAGCATCAAACAACACTAAAAAGATTTAGAACAGGCCATCTCAAGCGATTGAAGATATAAAATAATAACAAAATCTACCCAACTTGCCCAAAATATCTTGGCGGATGCAGCTCCAGAACACATTTTGGCTTGCATGAGATGGGCTAAACAGGAACTTTGGGAGAGGCCGCTGCTTATCATCAAACAGCTCATGGAGAATACTTATGGAATTTGTGTAATCTTTGCACAAGGGGATAAGAAACAACAATTACATCTCTGGAATCTTCCAGCAGTTAAAAGAGATACAATATCATTGCTGGAAACTCCCAGCTGTAAGAGAAGAGGTGCAATCACATGTCTGGAATATTCCAGCAGTCAGAGATACAACTTTGCCGTTAGAATCTTCCAGCAGTTTAAAGAGAGCCATCTGTGGAGGACCCACCTGATCCCTGATGCTGGTGAGGAGCCCCTCCAGGGTGGTGAAGCGGCTGGGGAGAGCAGCATGTCCCATGTCCAACTCCAAGGTCGGGATCTTCACGCTGCATGTCTCTGACTGCACACCATCTGGATGTCAGCAGATCTATGTCTTAATTCTATCTAGAGTCGACTTAGGTTCTGTAAGGTCTTCAACTTATAATAACTTTTGAACATTTACAGTCGCCTTATTTTGTTGTATTTAGATTTTCCATGAAAAAATGTTTACCTTTTTATTTAGAAAAAAAAAAATGGAGTGAGGGTCATCATTCAAGTCACAAATTCTTCGAGTACCTGATATAGTACCTGAGTGTCTTGTTCCCAGTGCTATCATCATAACTGTTCTTTTTTTACAAGCCATGGTGGGTTAGCAACTGCTTTTACTGTAAGTGCATCACATGTCTACACATGACTTTAATGTTTGCATTTACAAGTGTGTCAGAGTTTAGTTACATGCACTTAATGGTGAGATTGAACATCTGAAGAATCAGGGGCCATTGAAACAATTTTTTACTCAGAAAAAGTGCTTAATGTGGGTTTTAATCCCAGGTCATGGCTGTTAAAATCGACATTTTATACCTCTTCTCCACCAACCCCTGTGAAGGCAGCAAACGCTCTACAAAGGCACAAGGTAATAAGACCAAATCCAAATAAATAAATACAGTGGTACCTCGACATACGAGTTTAATTCGTTCCGCAACCTTGCTCGTATCTTGAATTACTCGTATCTCGAAGCAAATTTCCCCATACTAAACAATTTAACTACCATTAATCCGTTCCAACCTCCAAAATGTCACCCCAGTTATTTTTGTTACGTGGTTTTAAATAATAAAAACATATTTATAAATATCAAATATTTATTGCACAAAACAAAAAAGAGAATGTAAAGAAATAAATTAGATATCCTCACTGGTCTTTGCCTTTTTCGCTACATTTTTCTCGCTTTCACCTGTAGGCCGTTTAGAAAAAACATGTCCAAGGAGGTTTGTTTCTTCCTCCCTCTCAGAATGTTCCGGCACAGAACATATCATGGAAGTACTACGGTCATACTGCCTCGACAAGTCAACAACTCGAACACCTTGCTCATGTTTTTCTATAATTTCACGTTTTAATTCAATACTCATCATCTTTTTTTTAGCACTTGACTTTTTACAAACTTTCTTCCGATCCATGGTTATAAAAATAAATGAACTAAAACTGTAAATGTAAACGCAACACAAAACACAACTTATCACAGCGGAAGCACGCTGCTAACTGATCGTGATGGCGCGACTGCGTGTTACTATCGAACCGAACTTGTATCTCGAATTTCGCTCGTAACTAAAAGCAAAAAATCACTTGCTCGTCGGCTCGTATCTCGAAAAACTCGCATTTTGGGGCGCTCGTATGTCGAGGTACCACTGTAGTGTGTGACGTTTCGGTAACAGTGTTGTTATTATCTTCATTCAGCACTTTTGTCTGAAGATGGTAACAACACTGTTACTGAAACGTCACACACTATTTATTTGGATTTGGTCTTATTACCTTGTGTTTATAATCTACTAGCCGAATGACCCGGGGAACGCCCGGGGTTTATCCGATTAAATGCTTTTATTAAAATATTATTCGTTACAATTATAAATTGGCGCCGTGGATGTCATTCTTGTATCAACATATATAGTCACGACCGTCTTTCCACCGTCAATCATGTCACGGATGCGCGCGCATCATCATTATGATCATTATCATTATCTAATGATAATAATAATAATTATTATATTATTATTATTATTATCAACATATATAGTCACGACCGTCTTTCCACCGTCAATCATGTCACGGATGCGCGCGCATCATCATTATGATCATTATCATTATCTAATGAGATAATAATAATAATTATTATTATTATATTATTATTATTATTATTATTATTATCAACATATATAGCCACGACCGTCTTTCCACCGTCAATCATGTCACGGATGCGCGCGCATCATCATTATGATCATTATCATTATCTAATGATAATAATAATAGTAATTATTATTATATTATTATTATTATTATTATCAACATATATAGTCACGACCGTCTTTCCACCGTCAATCATGTTACGGATGCGCGCGCATCATCATTATGATCATTATCATTTTCTAATGATAATAATAATAATTATTATTATTATACAGTAGAACTTGGATAATTCGAACTTCTTTAATTCGAAAACCTCTTTAATTCGAATATTTATCTTAGTCCCTAGAAGCCTTAAGCCTTTATTCAAAACATCTTTAATTCGAATTTTTGGATAATTCGAATTTTTTTATGGTCCCTTGGGGTTCGAATTATCCAAGTTCTACTGTATTATTATTATTATCAACATATATAGTCACGACCGTCTTTCCTCCGTCAATCATGTCACGGATGCGCGCGCCTCATCATTATGATCATTATCATTATCTAATGATAATAATAATAGTAATTATTATTATATTATTATTATTATTATTATCAACATATATAGTCACGACCATCTTTCCACCGTCAATCATGTCACGGATGCGCGCGCATCATCATGATGATCATTATCATTATCTAATGATAATAATAATAATAATTATATTATTATTATTATTTTATTATCAACATATACAGTCACCACCGTCTTTCCTCAATTCCTCATGTCACGGGTGCGCGCGCATCATCATTATGATCATTATCTTCTATAGAAGCTTCTATCTTTACAATTATGTATATTTACAAAAAGTCAATTCGCTCGCGCCTCTAGCGGTGAAAATGAGGGGTCATACCAGCTGACCTAATGTACATGTAAAGTTTGGAGCGGGACGTTTCACAAGAGTGACATCCACGGCTCCAATTTATAATTGTAACAAATAGTATGGGAATAAAAACATTCAATCGGGTAAAACACGGGCGTTGCCCGGGTCATTCGTCTAGTAATATATAAATGAGTTTTAAAAATTGTAAAAATAAAAATGCATCAGCCGGGAATCGAACCCGGGCCGCCCGCCACTATAATATATAAATGAGTTTTAAAAATTGTAAAAAAAAAAATGCATCGGCCGGGAATTGACCCCGGGGCGCCCGCGTGGCAGGCGAGCATTCTACCACTGAACCAAAAGCAAACGGTGACAGAAGTGTCTCGCGCATTGGCGGCACCAAATGATGGGGAGGGGGGGGGGGGGGCAAAGGTGGCGTGATCGTAGCCGACCAATAGGAGGGCGCCATTCCAAAAAAAAAGCAAACCGTGACAGAGGCGACGAAGAATGACACTCGTAACTGTATATAGAATAATCCAAATTGTGCCTTATCATCTCTACAAAGGCCTTCTATGTAAAAGTTTGCTAAAATATAACCAAATCCAGTGTACATATGGAATACATGAGAGGTTGGATTAGGAAAAAAATAACATCTAACCATACAACTGAACATTGCATTTAGTACTTTTTGTCTAAAGATGGGAACAACGCTTCACATATAATTTTTTAATTTGAAATTAGTATTTTAAACTTGTCATTCTTATTTATAATTAAATTGTACTTCATAAAAATCCATTTATTTGTTATCATTTACAAAGCACGCAATATCCGTCTTGGATATTTGCATGCATACACAAGTTTGGGAGCTTATTTACAGTAATATATATTATTAATATGATTTTAGTTATTATAATAGAAATTATTAACGTATTTGTCAGTTAGTTAACGATTAATTACCCTATAATGAATATTAGTGAACATCACATAAGAACAGAAATTTAGAGCTATTTACAGCATATAACTATATATCAGTTATTACAGCCCAGGTAATCTATTACTAAAAAACATTCTACAAAATCTATTAAAATTTATATACATATATCTATTATTAACTATTTGATTTAGACAATTTATATTTATTTGATTTTTGACTCTCAAGTCCTCTACAAGTCGACAGTCCGTTAAAATATGTACAGGATTTTCTTCTTCTGCACCACATGAGCATTTAGGCGAATCTGTCTTTCTGACTTTGTACAAATATGATCTAAAGTTACAGTGTCCAGTAAAAAATTGGACATTGTAAAAATTTGGCTTGACATATTTGGGTATTTGGGAATCAGTGAAGAAGGACTTGAAAATAGTATTAGTCTTCTCATAGTATTTTTGCAATTTTTCCCTTATGTAATTAGAAATTATATTCCTACTTGAAGAGTCAAATCGGTTGTAATTTATTTCGGTTTTCAACATGTTAGATTCAATATATTCAGTAAGTTTGGGGACTTGTGCAAGTATATGTGTACAATCCGATGATGTTGTACTGTAGGCCTGTATACAATGTTTTAATATACTATATTGAAGAGAATTAAGTTTGTCTTTAGACTTTTTGTTTATGAATGGATACCATATTGGATAACCATAAGTAATTGTACTTCGATATAATGTCTTATACAATATCAGTCTTCGTCTAAAGTCCAGACCCCATGCTTTCTTTGTCAGGCCAAATAGGTATCCACTAGCTCTAGTTACCTTTATGATCATTTCATTAACGTGAGGCATAAAGTCCAGTTTGCTTCTGACTCGGTGATTTTTAATAGTCACTCCTAGAATCTTAAGTTCTTCAACCTGTTTAATTAACTTGCTACCTGAGACTATTATATCGCTATTGCATTTATATAAATATAATATTTTTGTTTTTTCATCTGACAATTTTAATTTACGACTTTCACACCACTTATTGATTTTTCTTAATACATTATCTATTGTCTTTCTTAGTTGTTCAGGAGTTTTATTCCAACCTATTAACGTAATATCATCTGCATATCCTATTGTTTCACATTTATCATCCAGATTATTATTCAGTATCTCATTAATAAGAATATTCCATAATGTGGGAGACAGTGGTCCTCCCTGTGGACATCCTTTACTTAGTTTCTTATTAATTTCAGTTGAGGAATATCTAAATCTTATTCTTCTATTATCAAAGTATGATTGTAGAAGTTTTATCATTGAAGCCTGCACACCATCTTCATCTAGTCTTTTCATCAAGGCCGGCCACCATGCATTATTAAACGCTGCACTAATATCCACTGCAATTATTGCTGCATATTCTCTTGTTTTATATCAATTAAGAAGGATCAGAAGATGAGTTTCTTTTATTGTATGAATGCTACGAGCTTTCGGGCAAAAGCCCTTCGACAGGCAAAAATATAACTATACTAAGAAAGATAACGATTTATATACAGTGGACCCTCGGTTTGCGAGCATAATCCGTTCCAGAGCCATGCTCGTACTCCAAAACGCTCGTAGTGCGAAACTAATTTCTTATTTTTAATAATTGAAACTCGGGCAATTCTTCTTGCTACGAACAATTGCACAGTTTCCCACATTTTACATATTTCCCAAATCTGATCTGAAGAGAGGGATCCCAGTGAATTTTCATCCATCACAATTACGGGCAACCATCACGAGTTGCTCGTAATGCGAAATTTCACTCGTAATCCGAGGTAAAATTTTTCCAAAAATTTTGCTCGTACTGCGAAAAGCTCGTAAACCGAGGGTCCACTGTATGTTAATCTTAACAGAAGACCGTTTTTTGAGAAAAGTAAATATTAAATCTGCAGTCTGAAACCACGAGACGGCGCGTGGTTTCAGACTGCAGATTTAATATTTACTTTTCTCAAAAAACGGTCTTCTGTTAAGATTAACATATATAAATCGTTATCTTTCTTAGTATAGTTATATTTTTGCCTGTCGAAGGGCTTTTGCCCGAAAGCTCGTAGCATTCATACAATAAAAGAAACTCATCTTCTGATCCTTCTTAATTGATATACCTTACTAGAAGAGTCTTTACCTTTAATCTCTTGTTTTATGTTCTAACACAATTTTTATTATTTCAGTTAGTGCAGTAATAGTAGATTTCGATCTTCTAAAGCCATGTTGTCGATCACTTAGTAAATTAAAATCTTCATAATATTTTATTATTCTGTTATTAATTATTTTTTCAAATATTTTAGAAATGTTGGAATTAAGACATAAAGGTCTATAATTTTTAAAGTTATTAAAATCAGTTTTTCCAGGTTTCGGAATAATTATTGCCTCTGCTCTTTTCCATTCAGCAGGATAGTATTGTAGGTCTAAACATTTTTTAAATAGTTTCACCAATATAGGAGCTATAAATTGTTTAGTGTGCCTTATCATGTTGTTAGAGATGTTGTCTATTCCGGGAGATTTCTTTCGATTTAATTTGTCAATTAAGTCGTTAACTTCAGTAATCATAACCATCGGTTTTTCTTTATTGAGTAGTTTTAAATTATAATTTCTTATACTTTTATGGATGTTTGTATCTTCTTCACATTTATCATCTGGAAATAAGTTATTCAATAATTCCTCACCTTTCTGCAAACATTCCATATCAGTATTACCCTCCAAAATTTGCATATTTCTCTTCCGCTTAGATCCACTTTTGATGTTTTTGTACACCTTATATAAGTTTCCATAAGGGTTGTTCGATTTGTTTTCCTCCAGAAAAATTCTCCAGGATGCTTTCCTAGCTTTTTCTATTTCTCGTAAATACTTATTTCGTATGCTTTTATAATATTGTTTAATATGATTAGGGCAATTTTTGTTTCTATAGTAACAGTTTCTAAGATAATGACAGTGATCCTTTAGAAGCTGTAAATTCGTATTCCACCACTTATTATTAATATTATTTTTTGTTGTCATATTATTATTTACTTTAAGTGAATTATGTGCTGCCTCAATCAGTATGTTCGTAAGTTCTTTTACCGTTTGATCAATCATTTCTGGTGTATCCACTATGTCTAGTAAGTTTTCAATTTTTTCTTGCTCAGTACTGTTAATTCTCTGACTAAAACTTAACCAGTTCGCATTTTTCTCATTAAATTTCCAAGTGGAATAATATTTTTCTGAACTAAATTGTTCGTTTGTATATATTTCAAAAGATATAGCTACATGATCTGAAATTTGCGATATCTGCTGTGTCTTCCAATTTCTGATCGCCGCAATTGCCTGTTTATTTGTTAGTGTGAGATCAATCACACTTGCATCACGACACGTGAAAGTTTTATTATTATGGATAATTAAGTTTATTTCATCTATGATTGGGATCAGTCTATGTCCATTATAATTTTTCCTGATATCATACCATAACGGAGCTCTGGCATTGAAATCGCCGCAAATTATCACCGGTATATGTAAATTTGTATTAATTAACTTCTTCATAAATTCCTCGTGCTCACTTTTCATTGAATTCGGATGTATATAAATGTTGGAAAGATATATTTTCTTACTTTTTGTTTGTATGGTTATAGTTGTAGCGAATGAGTTAGTGAATTCTGTACTTAATTGAATTTTTAAGCTGCTATTTCTTACAATTATTGCCGTATTTATATTGGGACTGTTCATCAATTGATATGTTGTACAAGGTCCTGGAAATATTACCTCCTCTTTGATTATATAAGGTTCTTGAATCATTACTATATCTGCATTTCTAATTTCATCAGATGCACAAAGCTCATTTATGCAATTTTTGCTTTTTCTGGTATTTTGTTGAATAATTTTGATTTTGTCAATAAATAGTTTTCCCCCCATCATTCTGGAAGTTTATTATTGGCCCGCATCTTCTTTATGTGTAGAATAGTCTGTTCTTTGTATTATGATTTGCATCTCTTTTTTATAGATTGGGCAGTCTTGACTATTCGGTTTATGCTCCAAATCTCGATTACTAAAATGTGGATGTTTGACGCAGTTGCAGCATTTAACTGTAGTCGAGCATTCGTGTTCTCCCTCTTTTTCACATTTAATACATTTTTTGGGATTGGGACAGTTATTCCTCTTATGATTAGGATTAAATAAAAAACAGTTCTGACATTGGTTCACCAATATTTTATCTTTAATATCGCATTGTTGAATATCCGTGTAAATTTTTCCCTTTCTCATCATAATTTGGTAGACTCTAGGTGAAACCCTCAGTACTACATCTTACTCTGGTCTATTGGTTTTCATTGGAAATAGCACTTTGATCTCTTCACTGAGTTGAGAAAGTTCAGGGTTCATCTCACATAACGTTGTCGATAAATTAGCTAAGTTGGTCATCTTGTTGACTGATTTTATGACTATGTTTGG